GTTCAAGTTTTTTTTCCTGTTTAAGCAGTTACTTCTTCACATTTGTCTTCAGATAAAACCCTGTGGCATTGTTTGGGGACGGGCATGGCAGGAGGGGGCATGGCACATCACAAAGACCAGAGTGGCCTGGGACTCCCTTCCTGTTCTTTGTACATGTCCTTTTTTGCAGCTCCCTGCAACGTCTTGTGAAATATCCAGCCCTGAAACTGCACCTGAGCCCATGAAGCTGTCAGAGCTTCTTAGCCCTGGCTGGAGAGAGGTGACATGTTCCCGTGTGGAGGTGAGGTGGGTTGGCTTGGGTCTCTTTGTCCTGGGCTGGCAGGAGCGCCTTGTGTCAGCACTGAGAGCAGAGCACAGGGCTGGGAGGAGCTGCCCTGCACCGCAGGGGCTGGAGGCCCCATGTAAAAGCATTTGGCATCATTCCCAGATGTTTGGTTTCTCCAAAATCAGCTGCACACGCAGGACTCTGGGAGTGCAGGAGACAAGCCACCCTGCCCAGCTCTTTGCCTGCTGGGGGTGATTTCTCAGCCTGCCTCTTCCACGCAGCAGCCAAGGAAGGGGGCTCAGACCTTGGCATGAGGGGGCTGTGGGGAGTTTCTTGGTTTAACTGCTTCCAGTCACCTCTCCAGCGCAGAGCACCTGGAGAAAGCAGCATAGCCCTGGCTCCCTGGCTTCCTCGTGGGCCTCTGACCGTGTTGCTGGTGTGCCAGGCTCTGCAGACACTCAGAGGGGGATCTGTCCTCGCAGCGTGTCATTTCAAACTGGAGACAGGCAGTAATGCTGCAGCTGGCCTGACCTGGCCTTGTGACTCTCTGGGTGTATGGGGGTGACTCCTACAGCACAAGGTTTGCTCAACAATAGCCCTGTTGTCCCTGCCTGCCCAGGACAACAAAGCCCTTCAGAGTGCTTGGCCCTGCTGCTCTGCCTTGTACCAGATGCTGATGTCAGAGATGGAGCGGGCACGTCCCTCGGGAGCAGGGCGAGGGGCAGGGGGTCCTGCCTGCTCCCCAGCTCCCCTGGCACGGGGCACATCCAGCCCACAGCTCTGAGAGTGCCAGAGCTGCCTCATCTCCAGGCTTTTACACATGAGCTATCCCTCTTCATCACTGCTTTGCTTTGTTTTGGACTGGGATTATTCCATCTCAGCCAACTGTCCTTCACATCAGTACCTGGAAAGGTGAATCCCAAAGGCTGGGAAGGGCATGTGCACGTGTTAGGGGCTGCTGAATCAGTAACCCACTGAAGGCAAGGCTGCCACAGCTCCATATCCCCAGGTCCACACAACAGTGAGGCTAAGCACGTGTTCCTGGTAGGCATACAACACAATCTCACATGCATAGTCTGTCTTTATGCAAAGGCATGTCCAGCTGCACAAATCAGCCAGAAACACTCAGCACCCTCACAAAAGGCAGCAACAACCTCATCCTGTTCCCCTTCCTGGTTAAAAAAGGCTGTCAGTCTGTTAGTGGGGAATGCACACATATATATCATGTAGAGCCTTCCACTAACTGGCCTGAGACACCCTGCCCAGGAGCTGGCCTGTCCCAGCCTGCCCAGTTGCTGACACCTGACACTGCAGCCCCACTGACCACAGACCTCCTTGAACACACCAGCACATCCACAGACACGTGAAAGGTCCTTCCAGTAACTAGGTGTAGATACCACGTCTGCCTGGCAGCTGAGCCATGGGTCATGTATCCTTCAGAAGCACTTTGTTTTTCCCTAGTTTAGGGTACTGACAGAAAAGTATTATTAGTCCCAGAAGGCTAATTCTCTGCAAACACTGTGCTATTCATGGATAGTACCTTAAAGCAAAGTGCTGGGCACATGTCTGCACCAGAGCCAGGGACCTGGGTGGGAAAGGAAAGAGGATCTTGGCAGCTGTGGGTCTGGTTGGGGGAGGAGGCCCTTGGGGGGGAAGGTGGGTCTGGATGGGAAGCACAGGGACTGCATTTCAGAGCCAGGTGGGACACGGAGCAGTGTGGAGCTGTCACTGTGTCTCCTGCCATGGTTTGAGCTATGGAAGAGTTGGCCCCAGAGCAGAGACCCATGCACCTGGTCACAGCTGTGGCAGGTTGGTGGGAAGGTGGCAGACATAGCACCCAAGGGAACCCACAGCTGCATGGGGATGCTGAAGTATTTAGGAAGAAGAAGGAGTGAATAAGACCGATGTGGCACAGAGGAGACTGATTACAGCAGGGAGATTTGAAGACTGGGGAAAATGGGAGCTGTCCTGCTAGGCTGGCATGTGGGGTGTGTGCTGGTGTGTGCTCAGCCCACAGCTCCAGGCAATGCCCCAACACTTGGCATGGCCAAAGTGACTGTTCCTCCTGCAGGAAGAGGGCTGGGGCTACAGGAGGTACCTGGAGACAAGGCATGTGCCCAGGGGGAGGAGTGCTGGGCAGTGGGGCTGGAGGGGCAGGGGCCATGTCTGCACTGGCAGTGTCTTGCTGCCAGTTCAGCAGCAGTGCCTGCAGGGCCACCCAGGAAGGGCGACTTGTCCCCATGTGTCGCCAGATTCAGCCCAAAGGGAGCTGTGCTGGTTGCCAGGACAACTGGAACAGGTCATATGACCCGCTCTACTTTCTAAATTTAAATCTGTTTCACACAGTGTATGTGACTCCATGGAAACCAAATGTTGAGCAAGACAGATTGCATAAAAATGAACAAAATACAGAATGACTCAAAGTACCGGGGAGGGAGAGGCTGCTGGTGCTGCTGGTGGGGCTCAGAGGTGCCCTGGGCATCCTCCTTCCCCAGGGCACGTGTTGGTGCAGACATGCCCAGCCTGGGGAGGGTCTGCAGGGCACTTCTAGTGCCAAGCTTGGGATGGACACAAGGGGTGTCCCCTGCTGCCAAGGGTCTTCTGTGGACTTCTCTCATTAGCAAATCCCGTTTGCAGCCCCAGCTGTGGTCACACAGACCCCACACCTCTGGCTGCACCGGATCTGCCGTGTTTCTGCTTCCTGCACTTGCATTCACACACACCTTTGCCAAGTTCAGTATTTAGAAAATTCAGTTCAGTATTTAGGAAACTGCCGTTAGATAGAAACACAAGCTCAGTAATGTCAGTACAGAGTCAGCTTTTCCCTGCAGGACAGAGGGCTGTTCTGGTGCAGGTTCATGTTATGGCAGTTTTTCCCTTTGCATTTTGCAGGGAGTTTTCCTTGCACATTTTGTTTGATTTCTGTCACCAGTGTCACTGGGCAGGACAGTGCAGGGGAGCTGCTTAGCTGGGCTCTCTAGCCTTTATTTGTGCTGTTTGGGTCTGCAGCAGAAGTGCAGTGTGACTATGAGCAAGTGTCCTGACACTGCATCTAATTCAAACTTTTCCCACAGCTAGAGGCATCCTGTTCATTTGCTCCAAGGATAAATGTTCTGTTGAAATAGGATCATAAAATCATAGAAGAATTTAAATTGGAAGGGACTTTTGGAGGGCTCTGTTCAAACACTCTGTTCACAGTTAGATCAGGTGGCTCAGGGCCTACTTTTGTGGTTTTGGGATTGTTTTTCTTTGCCTTTGGTTGTGTGTTCAGGAGAGCCCCTGGCTGCACTCTGCTGGAGCTCAGTGCGAGCTGACACATCATGAGGGAGCTCAGGCTTTTAAGTGCACAGATGTTTCCTCCCTAGGATCCCTCTTTGAAGGGAAATGGGGGTTTCCTGAAGTTTGAAAATGAGAAGTGTTTTTCCTCTATTGAGCAAGGCTGAGCTTGTCTCAGGGAATCAGTGAGCATGGGATGGACTGAAGTGTGCAGGCCCTTCACTCCCTGTTGCCTCACTTTGCTGTGTGAAACCCCTTTTTGCTTTCCTTTTTTCCACCGTTCGGAGAGGATCACATAGGTGACATGTAGGTGGCATTCCAAGGAACAGGATGAGTCGGGCTGCTGCTAACTTGATTGAGAAGAGCAAGAAAGAGAAGAGAAACAATCAGAAGCAGTTAGTGGGAGAGCCCCCCCAGGACCTCCCTGCTGGGCTACCAGAGTGGGACAGCAAGTGCCAGGGCTTCCGTGTACATGGAGCATCCAGGATATCTGACCCAGTTGTCATTCTTTTCAGTCTTGCTTCTAGACAATCTGTGCTAAACAATGTTCCCTGGTCAAGAGTGTCACCTCTGGGTAGGATGTGATGCCTGGGGTGGCTGTCCTGCCAGCACCAGGCATCCTCTCCCTAACATCCCTAACCCAGTGCCTGTGGATGAGGGGCTACAGGTCAATGGTCAGGTTCTTGTGCTCTGCCTAGAAAGCTCATCCTTCTGCCTTGTCAGCTCTGGTGTCCTGGACTAGGTGGGTTAACTCCACAGATCAGCTCTTAATTCATATGCTCACCTTTGCTAGCTCTGGCTCGTGGTTTGGTGCTTCAGAGCTCCAGTGCCCTCTCTACTTGGAGATGCCTTTTACATTTGCTGCTCATTTCTGGTCCCTTTCTGCTGTGCCCATGTCCTGTCCCTGTGCTTCTGCAGACAGCAGGTGAAAACCATTGCTTGTCGTGCAGAATGTGGCCTGTTGGGTGGCTGGCTCTTTGCTACCCCTTCATACAGCAGGAACCCTGCTAGATGAACTTCTGCTCCTAGGAAATCTCACAGGGGGAGCACTTGTGTTCTTGGTTTTGAATGTTTTGAGAGATACGTTGGTCCCTTTTCCAGGCAGCAAATACAGATACAGGAGGGTTTTTATGGGGTCGCATGATCCCTGCACTGCTCATATTGTTCAGGTTTCCTGTTTCCTCAATGGTGTGTTGCAGACATCCTTTTCAGGTCCATATCTGCCTGGCCACCACCATGTAGGGGCTTGGTGACACCCCCAGAAGTGACAGTGAGGGGAGTGGCCTGAGTGTTCTGTCTCAGCTGGAAGGCACTGGGGAGCTGCAGGGTTTGGGAGGCAGAGGGGACTGCTAGTGCACCCAGCCCGAGCTTCTGCCCCACCAGGTCAGGGTCTTCAGGGTCCCATCTCTTCCTCTAAATGGAATAGAGCAGTTCTTCTAGGAAGAGACACCTAATCTCTATGGAAGAGCTACAAGAAGTGCACAGCCCTCTGGTAAGCCATTCCAGTCAATACTTATCCTCATGATTGGCAGATCTTTTCAGTCTGAGCCTGTCTGGTTGCACCTTCCAGTCACTGCTGTTCTGTGTTTGCTGGCTGGTCGTGCTCTCTGCTGGTATCAGAACCTCCTCTCCATGTAGACAGTCCTCGCTTGTGTTTTCCCGTTCTCATAAGCTATCCTGGCAAGAATTCTCCTAAAAATAGGAGCAAGAGATTGAGTAATAGCCCAGTCTCCTGCTGAGCTGCCCAAGGAAGAGGTGTGCGAGTGCCTCACTCTTCTTGTGACATGTGGCTGGGGCACAGGGTGTGTCCCAGGATGAGCTGGCTTTGGGGACAGGTTTGAAGCCTGTCTGGGGTGCTGTGCCAGTGGTGGAGCTGGGCTCTGGAACACTGTCTACCCATGGCTTCCTGTCTCCCTGCTCTCTCCCAGCCCCTGTTCTCTGGCTCATTTCAGCAGCAGGGTTGTCTGTCCTTACATGTCAGTGCAGCCTGAGCTTCTCCCATACGGGTGTGCAAATGTGGTTCCAGTTTAACTGAGCTGCTGCTAGAAAGAAGGGACTGCAGAAGATCTGGCCAAGACAGGGTTGTGTCTGCTGGGAAAATCAGAGCGAGAAAGTCTTTCCTGTTACTCAGATCTCCTGTTTGGCAGAGAAGGGATGATGTGCTGCCCCCATGGCCTCCTTGGCACTCTTGTTTCTGAAGGGATGCTCTGTGATTGTGTCAAAACCACGAGGTACTTAATCTGTGATGCATTATAAGGCCCAGCCCCATATTCTGCTGCCCCACATCATGTATCCCAGAGCCTCCTGTTATCCCTGCTTCAATGGGTGCAGGGTGGTGAGCAGAGAATGAAGCCAAGTTTCATTTCCTCTTCAATTCCTCTCCTATGCCATCTTCAGTTCCTCTTTTCCCAGAGTATCAGTCTGGAGCAGACCTGCTATAGGAATGGGAGTTCCAAGTGTGTGTGGAAGGGGATTGCACACCTAACTTAAATCTCCTCTCTTCCAGCTTAAAACTATTCCCACTTGTCCTTTCGCTACAAACCCTTGTAAAAGTCCTTCCCCAGCTTCCAAAGCCCCTTCAGGCACTGGAAGGTGCTCGAAGGTCTCCCTGGAGCCTTCTCTTCTCCAGAATGAACACCCCAACTCTGTCTTCATAGCAGAGCTGCTCCAGCCCTTTGATTATCTTCATGGCCCTTCTCTGGACCCTCCCCAACAGCTCCATGTCTTTCCAGAGCTGTACCCAGTACTCCAGATGTGGCCTCACTAGAGCAGAGTAGAGGGGGAGAAAACCACTAAATTTGTCCACACTACATTGATGCAATGCAATGTGGACAATTACATGCACTTCAGCCTTATCTCTTCCTTTTCCTTGCACCCTGAACCTGCACTGAGGCTTGAAACTGAGATGGTTAAGCTGGCTGGTGCAGCTGAGGTGGCACTTGAACCCTGATAGCAGTTCTGGGTCTGCCTGGACAGCAGGTGACAGCATGACACTCATCTCCTGCTCATCATGATCTGGATCACTCCTAGTAATCTGGATCCTAATGATTCTGTATCTGGATTATATGGATCCAGATTACATCTAGATCAGTAATGTAAGCATTGGTAATGACATGTATTATTAATAGAGAATCAGCATACTGAGAAACTCACTTCAGCACATTACATTCCTGTAGGCAGCATGGCTCTGCAGTGGTTCTTCTTGAAAATAGCTGAAGCTGGTGGTGCCCCTGTAAGTCAAATTGGGGTAGCACCTCCATAACCAGTGCCTTGACCCATCAGTGTATCTACATGAAAGTCAGTGAGTGCCAGATGCATGCCTTTCTTTCTCAGACACTTGATTATTTTATGCTTTGTATTTTACTGCTTAACAAGAGTAATTTTCTTGGAGAGGTCCAGGTGCTCATGGGACATCAAATACAGAGGAGTTTTATTTCTCTCCCAAATTATGTTCTGTGTAACTAGTGCTCCAAGTGAAGATTGCTTTGTGCTCTGCCTGAAGCCAGGACAGACATGGGGAGGAATGGACTGAAAGTCTTTGGGTGTTTTGCTACCTCTAGAACTTCAAACCATGCGGTCCCTTTCTAGATATGTCTGGTTAGACTTGGAATTATCTAGATATTGACTTAATAGGTTGTTTGTTTGTTTTCTCAGCAGAAACCCAGAAAGGCAACTCCTCAGACAGGAGAAGATACCATGAATGGCCATCTTCCCCCTGGCTGGCAGAGCTACATGTCTCCCCAGGGCCGAAGGTACTATGTGAACACCTTCACAAATGGTAAGTGGGGGTGGGGGCCCAGAAAATGTGCAGATCTATTGCAAGTAATTGTTTCTCAAGTTGATTTTGGTGACAAAATAGGCCCAGAGTCAAAGGAAGTATAATGACCCTGCCACCATAGGAAAGAACATAGTTATACAAAGTTTCAGTCTTCTGAATCTCTGTTATGTTCATTCTGACCATTAGAAGACAGCCAAAGATTTTACAAAAGGCAGAGTATATAAAGTAGAAACACCCCTGCCATAGCAGTTTTAGAATATAAACCACTGTTAAGGATACAATCTTTGCCACTTTCCTTATTTCCTCTCCCTTTAGCTGCAGGTATCTATGTCTATATAAGTACATCTATGCAGCTTGGTAGGTCAGGTCTCACTGAAGCACCATTGGGGGAAAACAGAAAGAATTAATGGAAAAGTTCCTCAAATCAGAGTCAGCTTGGCCATGGAGACAAGGGGAGAAAAAAGGCATGTAATGGGACATCAAAGACAGGCTTCTCAGGCTGTATTTGTCTGTTTTATTCTCTGTTGTGCTAGCAGAGAAGCAGACTTAACTCACAATCTTATCAGCTGCTCAAGACCTGTCAGACTGGTACCACCTCTGGCTTACTCAAGACTCTGTGTCTGCTTCCCTCATCATGAGCTCAGAGCAGCATTGCAAAACAGGGACCTGTGACCAGCAAAACCAGATTTCTTTAGCAGAAAGAATGACAGGGAGGAAAGGACAGCAGGAGTTCACCTTGTTCACAAGGGAGTCGAAGCCATCAGGAATGAGCTGTGTCCTTCCTCTCTGACTCCCTGGGAGTGAAGGGAGAGCCACGGGCTGTCACAGTGCATGGCCCATTCAGGGACTGATATGTTTGATTTCAGAAGCTGTGGCCTAGAGCTTGGCCCAGTCATGATCTACCTGAATTTTAGGCACTGACATCTCATAGGAACCTCCAGAGGGCACATCACCAGGAACCACTGCTTTCATTTTCAAGCACAGGCTGCTCTGTCTCATGGGCAGCATCCCCTGCACAGCTGGGGGGATAAGTGGAGTTAGATGCTCTGTCCCCACTGCAGTTCAGAGGTGGGTGAGGAGGTGAGGACACTCAGTCCTGAGCCACCACGGGGGAGGGACCCTTACTCATGTGGTGACCACAGTGGTCACTTCTTGCTGGACAGAGGTCTGGCCTCAGCAGGGTTGATGCAATGTAAGCTCTTCTAGAAGACAGAGTAGCATGGGAAGGAAAAGCTGTGGGATCTGCCCATGTGGCCCAGCAGAACCTGCCCGTTGAGTCTGCCTAGGAGAGAAAGGTACCAGAGATTAGGCACTGCTGTTGTGCCTGTTCTCAGCCAAGTCCAGCAATGTTCTACATGGGTTAATGCATCTAGATGGGTGCAACCAGGATACTTGATAACTACAGACTGTTCCAAAAGACAAGATTCTGTGTAAGATACATGTCACAGTTAAATACACCAGTGAGTCACTAGAGGGAGGAAAGGGGAACTTCTTGAGGCAATGAAGTGTTAACCAGTCAGTCAGAGTAGGTCCCACCCATCTGAGAAAGAAATATTTGCAACTCCAAGGGAGTGAAACAGTCCTTATTTTAATGAAGATAAATGGCCAGACTATCTCCTGGACAAGAAATAAGTACTGTGAGATTCAGTAAAAGATTAAATCTGTCTGAACCTGCTTCAGAGGGCCTGGGAGGAGCATTCCCTGGAGGAAGGACTTCCCAGAGCTGTCTGATGAGTGCACACTGTGATGCAGGCTTTGGAGGGCTCTCCTTAACTGATGCAACAAGGCATAAGGGACCTTGGAGAAGGAGGCTCTGTGTAGCACCCTGCCAGGAGGGGTTAGCACTTCAGAGTGATAAGAGAATGAGAAAGAACTTTCTGGCTGTTTTTCATATAAATGGTTTAGTTATGGTTTGTTTTTTATTATTATTTTTTTTTCCCCTTCTGTCTTCCACAAGCATCTGTAACTGCTTTGCTGAAACTAGATGTTTGATTTAGGTTAGAATTGCACAGTCCCGTGGCTGCAGTGGACAGTGAGTTTAAGGCAGCTTGGGTTACAGCAAGTCAGTGTGCACTGAAGACTGAGGTAGATGTGTCAGTTGGGGGACCTCAAGCAGGACACTCTCTGCTCTGCCCTACCAGAACCTTCTGCATGGACTAGGTGGGGAGCTGGCACCAGTGGGGTGGACCCTCTGATATGCAGCAAAACACCAGGACACAGCCTGTGAGGTTTTCCAGGAGCCCTGTTGCATTGTGCTATACTGAAAAAATGAGTGTTTCTTCTCCATTTGGAACCTTCTGTTCAAAGGGACTTCAGCTTTCAGTCCCAAAGTGAAAGGATGCTCTGACTTTACAGCAGTTAAGGTTTGTCCCTGTGTATGGCTGATGTCCTGTTACCAGGATCTACAAAGTTTCCTATTTAACAGGAAGAAACATGAAATGGTCCTGGAAAGGCTCAGTGGTTGCTTTCTGTGATCAGTCAAGGTAGGTTCCCTCCCAGGCTCCTCTGAAATGCTCTGTGGAGTTTCCTTCCATTTCCGAGTGCAGAATCTAGACCTGGATCAGAATCACTGTGCCAGATAAGGGTGTCTTCTGAGGTGCTGAAACCCTAGATTGTCTGAAGGGACTGTCCAACTTTCAACTTTGTTATAGTGGCTTGTACTTTATGTTGTATTTGGACATCCTCTGAATGGCATGTCCTCCTCTTGCAGCACTCCAGCTGTCCTGCTGGCTCAACCAGTTGCCCTGTCAGTCAGTGGGAGGCATATTTGAGAGACAGGTTGGGGTGTTGACCAAACTCAGGGCTGTGGTGATGCCCTGGGCTGGGTTAGAGCATGGCAGAGCATTCCCCTGCCCCTCTCTGGAGCTTTGCTGGCACCCAGCACCTTTCTGAAGGAGCACAAGCAGGATTTCTTAGCAGGTTCGTGGCATTTTCAGCACTTCCATCAATGACAAGCAGTGGTAGAAGGAGGTACCTGCCTTCTCATGTGGTAGGATTGTGGCAAAACATTTACAGAGCCTCTGGGCAGGGCAGGTCTGAGAGCAGACACCCTGCATGCAGGAAAGGCAGCTCATTTCCAAGAATAAAGCAGCAATGGAAGTTTAAAAGCTCTCTAGAGGGAAAACAAACTGAAGGGACAGGGAACTGTAAGATGGTGCAAAACTTCTTGGCAGATCATACTCAAAGCAGGGTAATCAATGGTCCCTTGTCAAAGGGAAGTTTTCACCAAAGGAAATCCTGCAGGGATCTGCCCCAGGCTCCGTTCTAGTCAGTATTTCCAGTCATGAATGGCATGTTGACATTGAGAGCACTTATTGTTAACTTTAACTGAAGCTGGGAGAGAACATGGTGTGCTGCAGGGAACAGGCTCAGGATTCACAGCCATCCTGCAGCTGAGGGCACCCGCTGCAAGAGCAGGATGCTGTTCAGTAAAGATGCACTTAAGATTAGAGATTTCATCAGAAATAATTAAGTGACAAAGACAGGCAAGGGAGCAGTTCACAGACAAAAACACTGGGGCTCTGGAGGATCTGAGTGTGAGCCAGCAGTGTACAAAAACTAGCACAAAACCAGCCAGCATTTTCCGTTGTATAAATAGGAATGTTTTCTGTGAGGCATGAAGTAAGCCTCCAACTTTACAAGGAAATTATAAAGCCTCAGCTGGAATATTTTATCTTGTTTGGGCTCTACACTTCAGGAAAGATGTGAGCCAGTTGGATAAAGCCCAGAAGAGAGCAGCAGGAACGATGGGAGATGTGGAAAACATGGCTTGTTGGCCAGGGTGAGAGATTGGGGGTGTCTGCCCCAAGGAAGCAAAAAGATGTGGATGGGGACACGGAAGCAGGTTTCAAGCACATAAAGTGCTGTTGTGGGGAAGGCTGTTTGGAATGCCTGTCGTGACTCAAAGACACAGCAACTCAGCTCAGTTGCATTGAGGATGACTCTAACTCTTCCTAGCTAAGATAGTAAAGTGTGGGAGTAGGGAGTTGCCTGGGAGTTCCTATCACTGGAAGTCTCTCAAAGCAGGTTACACAAAGCTGTGAAAAATCATGCTGGTCTTGCTTTGGGGCACAGGAGGGACAGAATGACTTCCTGAAATCCCTGTCAGGCCTGTTTTTTCAGTCTGTAAAGCCTAACCTATATGAAAAATATTTAGCAATGTGGAGGATGACAAATGCCTGGGACTCACAGAGGGGTTGTTCTTTATTTGGTATCTGTGTTTCTCAAGTCTTCACATACCTCACAGCTACCTTGGCTGTCACTCAACTTTTTGCTTTTTTAGGTTGTCTAAGTCAAATAATCTTAGTGTGATTTCAGAGGAACATTCCCTGTGCTTCATTCCATGTGTACCCACCTGCACCTGTGCTGAATATTCCCGCTGTGCTTTGGGACAAATCCTGCTCCTCCTGGGATAGTCCTGCCCTCCTGCTCTCCAGGTAGAGGCAAGATGAGCCAGCAGTGTGAAGAGCAGCAGGAGCTGGTGGGCCCAGCACTGTGCAGTCCATCTGCTGGGATGGCTGCAGGGCTGGGAGGAGGGAACACAGCCTTTGAAGGGCAGCAAAGCAAAAGCTGGACAGGTTTTGGTGCCGTGGGCTCTGTGCAGCTCCTCAGCTGAACCTCTGCTGTAGTTCTGCTCCTTCCTGACCACAGGAGGTGTTGGGTGACTGGTCTACTCAACAAATTGCCATTCTGAATGTGTCTGGCACTGCACCATCTCTGCTTTCCCATGCAACAATCACCATTTGCCTCCTTCTTCACAGTGTGCAGAAGCCTGGGTTTTTTTTTGCATTAAATAGGTTTTTTGGTCTTGGTCCTTGACCTATTCAGAGATGGGCACTTGAGAATTCATCCCCATTCCTGAGGAGTGGAAATGGGACTTTAGGGGCAAGTAACATCTTAATTCTTCTTGAGCCTTCAAAATACAAGAGAACCCTTCCTCTTGTGAGGCACTAATATTATTGTCAGAGGTTTCCAGTGGTTGGAGTCCTTCCACATTGTGG